TTGATTTGTCTTGTCTGGTTTCTGGCTGCCTCAGTGGGCAAAGCCTGAGTCACGGCTCAGAAGCATCCCTGCCTCCTCCCACACCAGGGACCTGCTGTAGCCTCCACTTGCTCTGCAGATTGGCTCGGGCTGGTGGAGGAGCAGGAACCCTGAGTCACTGCCCCATAAACCAGCAGTCAGCGTGGTCCTCACCACTGCCTTGCTTGACCTTGCACTCGCCCACATTGCTTTCCGTCAGGCTGTACACTAGCTGGCCCATGTCCCAGTTGCTAATGTGATTACAGCAACAACCTCCTCTAACTCGACTATGGGGAGAGATGCAGAGAAGACAGATCCAATTTGCTTGTTTGAATTAATACTTTCAGGGCCAAGTGTCGAGTCTCTTTCCTGGGAGAGTTCTAGTCTTTTCCCTGAGAGGTCGGCAGCCCTGGGTAACAGCTTAGGTTGGAATATGAAGAAACCTAGTTGCCTTTGGGACGAATTGGGCAAATTTTGGAACAGAAGAGAGAACCCCTCCCTCTTCAGGTGGGTGGAATGAGGAGATCTCAAGTCCAAGGTCGAGGCCAGAACTTCCCTCAGCACGATGAAGAGAAGAAGTCACATTTTCTGGGAAGGAGGGACTTAGAAATAGGGACTAGGGCAGAGAGGAGGGAAAGGGGAAGAAACAGCTGCAGGTGGGAGCTAAGTAACGTGCCACAGCAGTGAGCCAGCCAGGAGCCCTGCAGTGGTCAGGGTGACCCGGGCTGGCAGGGAAGATGCTGGCACCATCTCTCCCACCTCTGCCTGAAAATCTTCCAGATGCAGGGCCTGACCCCTGCTGACCCTCCGCCATCTCCTCTCTCCTGACTGAGGGCCCCAGGTTTTGTTGGCTGTCAGCTAGAAGCCACTTGCCAATCCTATAGGCCACCCACAGTTCCCTGCCACGGGCTGCCTCCAGTGGCAGCTTAGTTCATCAAGCCAGCAAGGGGAGCCTCTCTCCAGTCTGCTGAGAAGGAGCCTTATAGAATGGAACCTGATCAAGGGAGTGAGCTCCCATCATCTTTACCAACTTCCACTCGTTAGAAACAAGAAACAGGGCCCACCTCTTAGACAATCCCTAAACCTTGACGGGAGGCCCAAGACATCCTATCCAGCTTCTAGCGTGGGAGGAAAGGGGCCTGAGCTACACCTTTTGAAGGGCCACAACCAAGCTTCAAAGCTGAAAGGGCCTTTGAAGTCAGGCTAGACCATACCACCCTCCACCCTCACACTGAGTTACAGACGGGGGAAATGAGGCTGGAGAACCTGAGCCATTGCCAAGTCACCGAGTGGCTGTAGGCTCTGGTCTACACAGCTCCCAAGCCCAGGCAGTGAGCCAGATGTGGGGACCCCAGTGAATAAGATTTGGGCCCAGCTGTGCCTTCCTGGGGCTCAGACAGGAAGACCACTCGGGGGTCATGATACTCCAATCACAGAGGGCGTCTCATCACCAGGGAAACGCTTAAAATGTAGGCTACCCACTGAAACCACTGGCCTGGGCTTTTCAAAATCGTCAGGATCATGAAAGACAGAAACGACTGAAGGAGATTAGAGAAGTGGCAATGAAAAGCAATGCTTGTCCCTGGACCAGATCCCAGTAGGGGAGGAGGAGGACAGTTGCCATAATGCAAATTATTGGGAAAACTGATAAAACGTAAATACTAGGAAGTAGTATTGAGTCACTGTAATATGACAGAGAACACCTGTGTTCTATAATACACGTTGGAGGATTTAAGGGTAAGGCGACATTATGTCTACACCTGAGGTCTTCCAGAGAGAAAGACAGTGAGTGATAAAGCAGATGCAGCAAAATGCCAGCAATCTGAGTAAAAGGACATAGAGGAATTTTTTGTCTAAGATCAAAATCATCTTATATTGCTGTGCAGGCTCCTGGGCCTCCCCGAAGATTGAGGCCTGCAAGTGGGCAATCAGGGTGAGAGCTGGCTGCAGGCTCCCGGGCTCCCTGGAGATCGAGGCCTGCTCATGGGCAGTCAGGGTGGGAGCTGGCTGTCCCAGAGCCACGTTTCCAGCAGCACCTGCAGCCACAGAGGCGCTTCCTCAGGATTCTCCCTTTCAGACCTGCAGATTGTGCTCCTGTGGGTAAGCAGTTGCTATTTGAATCTGAACAAACAGCTCTTGGTTGAAGCAAGTCAAGACCATGCTAGAGACCCACAGGGGACTGGCAGTCCCAGCACCAGCTCAGTTTCCTTCATGGTGGCTGCCTGTGGGCCTAGTCCTGATGATGGAGAAAGGAGGAGGCACAGGGCATTCGGTCAAACCAGGGTCTGAGTTCTGTCCTGGTTTTGGTGAGCTGATGACCTTAGCAATCCCTGCCCTTCGCTAAAACACTGTTTCTTATCCTCTAAAAGGTAGTGAACCCTTGTTTTTCGCTTCCCAGCATCCATTCTCTTTTCTTCTGGCACAACTGGGCTGACACCTCTCCCCTCCTTCCCGCTGGCTCCAGGGTCCGCCTGTGGACCCCAACATGACTAAGCAGAGAACCACACCCCTCTGGCCCAGCAGGTGATTCCTGAATGGGCATGAGACTGTTCAAAACATGACAACAAGCTCAACATGGAGTCACTTATGCTAAGCCCCATGTCACCAAACTGAGACTTAACTACAGTTTCTCCTCTCCCAGAAATGGAACCTTAAGCCAGTCCATCAGGAGTCACCAATCAGCCCTAGTTAGGCAATCTGCCTGATAACCCCTGCCATTCCCATAAGGAGCATGACCTGGCAATAACCAGCTCACTTGTTTGCTTAGTATAACTTCCTCCTTCCTGCTCCCTTCTGCCTATAAAAGTCTTCCATTCTGCACAGCTCTTCAGAGCTCTTTTCTATCTGCTACATTGGATGCTGCCAGATCTGAATTGAATTCTGCTCAAGCTCTTAACATTCTCAATATGCCTCAGTTTACCTTTTAACATGACCCAAGCCAGGCCCGAGAGGTTCCAGGCTAGGATTTTTGTTGAATTCATTGGGCTGTTACTCTAGGAGGCCGGGGAGGCCAGAAGCCAGGAGGCCATGGGCCCTACAAAGAGTCTGCCTCAAGAAGCCAGCACAAGGAGGTGGAATGGAAAAGTGGGAAAACAGTGAGTCCAGATGACATTGTTTGCTACCCTAGATCCCAGATATCCCAGCCCAGGAGCCAGGAAATGTCCTTATTTTTTGCCTATTTGGCTAGAGTTTCAGTCACTTACAACCGAGAGAATTCTAATGCAGAGAGCTCTAGCTCTGCATGAGTGACAGTGGGGGACACAGAGAGGCCCTCAAGGCAGGGTGGCCCCTTCCCCCATGCCACCCCCAGCCTCCCCTTCTCTCCTCCCCAACTCCTCTCCCTGCTGCATCTCTCTGAACCCCAGACTCCGTTCACTGCCCCCTCCCACATTCTTGCAGCCTCTGGGTTTACTACACTCACTCATTAAAACCCAAGTGCTGCTCTTTCTGTGGGAGGAGGAACAACAAACTGCAGCTATCATGTCAGTGAAGACACAAATCTTTGTGGGTGGAGGTGAGCCCTGAGCTGGCAACACGGCGGAGGCTTCTCTGGACTTGTGATGGGGACCTGGAGTAGAGGTTGGACAAAGACTGGGGGGAGCCCAGTCGTTCCAACAAAGCGGGAGGGAAACTGCTGGTGAGGCCTGGGGACAGGGTGAGCCACATGGCGACTGCTGGCAGAGCTGGTGGAAACGGGGAATTGAATAGTCAAGCTGTCTTGGTGTGTGTGGCTATGGCTGTGGCATAACCCCTCCCACCTCCATAAACCTTCTGGAAGGGCGGCTGTGTGTCCCAAGGCTTTGTGCAGCTTGGCTTCTGTGGTGAACGGAGAAGAGGGCTGAGTTCCACATGGGGCTTAGCAGGAGTCGAGGGAGGGGATGGCTGTGGGAAGAGAGGCGAGGGTTGTGGAGAACTGGTAGCAGTCAAGGTCGGGTGTGATGTGGGAAGGTGCAGACATCTTGAGGAAGCACTTGGAATGGGGGGATCACAATGTTGTCACGCTGCAGCATGCTCACTGCAGCATGTTCACGTGACGCTCACTGTCACCTGCCTGAGGGAAGGTCCTCTCATCCTGTCCTCCCCCCGGCCCCAGGCCCTACTAGGCCCTCAGCGAATAGGCAGCCTTCTGATTCCACAGCTTCCTACCTTTAGATGTAACCAATAATAATCAACTTTACTGCACGTCTTGTTCTACACCCTTCCCACACGTTGTCTCCTTTAATCCTCCCATTGTTCTCCCCAATTTACAGATCTGGGTTTACACAGGGAGGGGTTCCACTGACTCCACGCCCCAGCCCTTGCCCTTTCTCAGTTGTTTCCCCTGTGCTAATCCTGGTGGGCTCTGTTCAGACTGAACACTGGTGAGGAGGCCTCCCCTTGCCCTCCAGTTTGACGTCCTTGTCTCTCACCAGGACATAATTGCACAAAGGCAAGACCATCCCTGTCTGCCTGTGTTCCCTGTGTTCATCTGTGTTCCCTAGTACCTAATGCCTATTGTGGAATTAATTCATAGATGAATGGGAAAATGACCTGAAGTTTGTTCCTCAAGACAGCTTTCTTTTTTAAACATATTTTTATTGATTTCAGAGAGGAAGGGAGAGGGAGAGATAGAAACATCAATGATGAGAGAATCATTGATTGGCTGCCTCCTGCACACCCTCCACTGGGGATTGAGCCCACAACCTGGTGCTTGTGCCCTGACCGGAAATTGAACCTTGACCTCCTGGTTCATAGGTCGACACTCAACCACTGAGCCACGCTGGCCAGGCAAGCCAGCTTTCTTGAGTGCTTTGCCTCAGCTTCTGCTGCCCGCCCAGCTGTCCTGCTGATAACAGGCATGTGAGTGGTGGCTGGTGGATTGGGTGGGTTGTAACTGCTTCTTCACAAGCTATAGAGGAGCTGAGCTGTGAGCTCCCACAGCTCAGGGCTGTCCAGCCAGTTAAGGTTTATAAGGGGTTCAGCTGCTGCTGGAATGGCCATGAATCGCCTCTAATTGAGTACAGCTCAAAGGGAAGGGGTGCTGATACTGCTGGAATTAGAAATAGGAAATAAACGCCCTGGGTCTGGCTCTTACCTTGTTCTCACACTCAAGTCCTGGCTCTAACACTTACATGCTCTGTGACCTTGGGCTAATCACTTCCCCTCTCTGAGCCTCAGTTTCCCTGTTTGCCAAATGGGGGTGATAATCCCACCCTCTCTCCAATGCAATGGAACTGTGGGTGAGGGAGCCCTCCCCTGCCTGGTGCATCTAGCTCCCATGCCTGCACCTCGCTGAAACTGCTCTCACCAACCCCATCCTACTACGAAGTCTTGTGGGCCCTTTTCATAAAGTTCTTAAAGTCACATGACCTCTAGGTCAAGTTGGATGCTCCGGAACACACCATTCTAGACACTGCTCAGTGTTTCCTCTTCCTCCCCAGCTGCCTCTACCTATTTTGTTCCCTTGAAGGTACAGTTTCAAACTGAGAAGCATCACACCTGGTTAGAGCTGCACTTTAGGAAGGTCATTTTGGCTTCAGAGTGGCACACAGGTGGAGAAGAGAAAGAGCTGGCCGGGAATCTGAGTTCTTGGCACAGGAAATAACGTGACTCAACAAGAGAGAGAGGCCAATGGAGAACATGGCAAGAACAAAGAATCCAAAGAATCCTCTTTGAGCCACAGCACAAAGGCGGACCCAGGTGAGCAGGTGTGATGAGGAGAGGGATGTAGGAAGGGGCCAGATCGAGAGGGCCTTTAAGCCACATGAAAGTACAAGGATTTCATCCGAATGGCTTTGGGAATGGTTTTAAAGGGGGAATGGCACGGGTTTGCATAATTCAGGAAATCACCTGGCTGCTCTGTGGAAAATGACCAATGCTTAGAGGGATCACTGATAGTTAAGCTACTGCGCTGACCAAGCAAACGATGGAGGCTCCACTGAGGATATGGTGGTGTAGACATGTCCTAGAGAAATTTAGGAGGTAGGTGCTAAAGACTTGGCAGTTGTGTGGCTGTGGAGAGGAATTGTAAGTGCAAGGACAAGTCCTGGGATAATCTTGGGCAATTGGGTGGCACATTTTCCTGAGATGAAAATCACAGGGGAAACTTCAGACAAGGGTCGACCAACTTGTTCTTAAAGGGCCAGAGAGTAAATATTTTAGGATTTGCAAGCCACATGGTCCCCGCCACAACTCTTCAACTCTGCTATTGTAGCACAAAGGCAGCTAGAGACAATACATCCAAAAATGCACTTGGTTATGTTCCAATAAATATTTCTTAAAAACAAGTGGTGGGCTGGTTTGCTGACCCATGTTTTAGGTCATGTCACATTTGAGGTGCCTGCTCTGGATCCACAGGGAGCAGTGGGAGACAAGAGTCCGAGTGTAGGAGAAAGGTCTAGGCCAGAGAGAGAATCCAGGAGCAGTCAGAGTGCAGGTGGGCATCTCAGACCAGCAGAGTGGGGTGAGCGGGATGCTGAGGGCCAGGCCCTGAGGACAGGAAGAGAGAAAAAGGACTGGATAAATGTCTTGCTGAGTGGTGGGAGGTGCACCTAGACAGTGAGCGCCTCAGACGTTGAGTGTGTGTGGCAACTTGGCACAGAGCTGGGCAGCATGAGGGCTGACGTGCATCAGCTGGATGTAAATGAGGGGTGCCAGATTCTGTCACCCCAAAATGTATCTCTTTGGCATTGTTTTAAGCTAAAGGCCATTGAGAACCAGCTGATGCACAGAAACTCTAAAAACAGGGGTTTTGTAAAGGAAATTTCCATTTATAAACGAAGTTTAAATTCCCACTTGTAAAGGGTGTCTCCCTCTCCCATACCAGGAAGAGGACTCTTATCAATGGAGAAGGTAGGACTTAAATCTGCACAACAAACCTTACTAAACAACCCTTGTCTACCATACTTTTCCCAGTCACCTATGCATTACTTGTCTCTCTCCCCCACCCACCGCCTTCCCCCATCTTTCCCCAAACCCCTTTCCTTTATTATTATTTTAAAAATATTTTAAAAATTGATTTCAGAGAAGGGAGAGGGAAAGACAGATAGAAACATCAATGATGAGAGAGAATCATTGATTGGCCCCCTCCTGCATGCCCCTGGATTGAGCCCCCAACCTGGGCATATGCCCTGACCGGGAATCAAACTGTAACCTCCTGGTTCGACACTCAACCACTGAGCTACGTTGCCAGGGCCCCCTTTCCTTTGTTTTAGCCTCAGATGGTAGAGAAGCCCAGGTTCTTTGGGTTACGCATTGCTGGCTGCTTCTCGCATGTGTCTGTGCATGCATGAGTTAACAATTTCTCTTTGTTTAACTCTTGTTTGTCTGTCTTTGGTCAGCCCCATTTACAGAGTCCCATCTGGAGAACCTAAGATGGATAAGGAGATTTTTTTCCTCCTCTATATAACCAAATGGTTACATCCATGACGAGGGGGTCAGTGACAAGAGAGTAACAGAAACCAGATTAAAATAGGCTGAAGAGGGAGTAGAGATGAGAAAAATGGAGTAAGGTGATGAACAAGTCTCAAGAAGGCCGTGAAAATATAGAGAAGAGAAGCTGGTGGCTGCTAGGGACGCTGGAATGGAGGGTTGTTGTTTGTTTTTTAATGGAACAGATTTGTTTAAATGCTGATGGGAAAAGAAAGGACTGTTGAGGTTACAGGAGGTGGATGCTGAATGGCGATCCCACCACTGACTACCAATGGGACCTTGGATACCTTCCTCATCTGCAAAGTGGAAGTAATAATAGGGTCTGTCCTGTGGGTTAAGGTGAGGAGAAGAGAAAATGTGGATACATGGCTCAGTGCATAGCAATAAGCTCTCAACACATGTTTCTCCTGCTATTATCTTCCCCCTCCCCCCCGCCCGCCCCCTTGGCTTCCAGAAGGAGTGAGTCTGGGTGTGAGGGTCCAGAGGTCTGCAAGGTTTCCCAGCTTTGCAGGCAGCCCTAGTGATCTGGGAGCATCTTAAATTATTACTTCCTTCTGCTCTTCTGTAAAAACCTAAATAAATGGTGGGGGTTTTTTGGTTTTTTTTTTTAAAAAATCAATAGGAATAGCAGGAACATAAGTTAGGTCTACCCCAGGGTTCTGCAGATGTACTAAGGCAGGATTTTTATGAGAGTTTCGATCTCCTTTGGCTTGTTAAATTGGTGACTATCTTTAATTGGTCTGAGGTCAGGCCTTTCAGACCCACATTTTCCACAGGCAAGGGAGAGTGGCGGGCCCTTAGCAGCCCACGTTTTTATTGCAAGAATGAGGAGCATCTGTGTAGTAGGTTGAATAGCATCCCCATAAAATTCATGTCTACTGCTGTCTCAGAATGTGACCTTATTGGAAATAGGGTCTTTGCAGAAGTAATTAATGATCAAGATGAGATAATCCTGGATTTAGGGTGGGACCTAAACCCAATGACTGGCGTCCTTATAAAAAGAGGGGAGGACCCAGACACACATACAGAGGCAAAGGCCATGTGAAGACGGAGGTAGAGATTGAAGCGATGAAGCCAAGGATTGCCAGGAGCTGGCAGAGGCCAGGAAGGACTTTCCCCTAGAGCCTCAGAGGGAGCGTGGCCCTGCTGACACCTTGATTTTACACCTCTGGCCTCCAGAACCGAGCATAAGTTTTTGTTGTTCAAAGACACCCTGGATGAGGTAACGTGTTAGGGCAGCCCTAGGAAGCACTAAGTCTGGCTTCATGGCAGTGAAGGAGGACAGTGTTCCCCAGGGCCAGTGTGGAGGCACTGGTGGTGGTGGTGTCTCTTCAGCTTCAGGATGCAGGAAGTGGGTGCACGTCAGAGCTGGGACCTGAGGCAGAAACACATCTAAGAGTGGGAGGGGCTTGCTGCCCACTGGGCAGGGCCATCGGCCCAAGACTCTGGTTCCTCAGTTAGAGAGATTTGTGTCAACTCCAAAGCTGCTGGGACTTGACAGACATTCAGATTTACCTTGATGCTGTTCTTAATCCTCCCCTGAAGATATTTTTTCCATTGAAGGGGGGTGAGAGAGAGAGAGAGAAACATCCATGTGAGGGAGACACATTGATTGGTTGCCTCCTGCTCGAGCCCTGACCGGAGTCAGGATTGAACCTACAACCCAGATATCTGCCCTTGACCGGGAATCGAAACCACAACCCTTCTGTGCATGGGCCGAAGCTCTAACCACGGAGCCACACCAACTAGGGCCAGATTTACTTTTTTATTTTTCTCAGAAAAAAACCAACAATATTCTTTAATAGGCTGGTTTACTCATATATCTCTGATTGCTGTGTTTCTTTATTTGCCCTTCTGCAGCTTGCCTTACCTAATAAGACATGTTATAGATGAAAGGAGTTTTTGTTTTGTTTTATTTTGTTTATCTGGCTAATCCCAGATACTAATGACGTGCTAAAGAAGTCTTGTCCCTTTGTTTCAGCTGAGTTTGACTTTCTAACTCAGTGCAAAACACTTATAATTCCAGTGGGATCAGTGGTTCAGATCTATCTTTAATTTACAAATTTATTTCTTTAAATGCGATCCATTAGTAGCCTAAAAACTTCACTTCTAGGAGATTATCTTAAGGAAAAATCAGAAATTCAGATGAAGCTTTATCCCAGAATGTTTATCATAATATTATTTACTAGTGGCCCGGTGCATGAAATTTGTGCATGGGAGTGTCCCTCAGCCCATCCTGCACCCTCTCCAATCTGGGACCCCTGGAAGGATGTCCTACTGCTGGTTTACAGGGATTGGGCCTAAACCGGCAGTCAGACATCCCTCTCGCAATCTGGGACTGCTGGCTCCTAACCGCTCACCTGCCTGCCTGCCTGATTGCCACAAACTGCCCTCCCCTGCCGACCTGATCTTGCCCTCAGCTGCCCTCCCCTGTTGGCCTGATCACCCCCAACTGCCTCTGCCTGCCTGATTACGACTAACTGCCCTCCCCTGCTGTCCTGATCTTGCACC